TCTCTTCCAAGCCTTTGGAAATCATGAGTCTCACTGAACTTTTATTTTCTAACTTTTAAAATAATGATAATTCCTGATTTTTAAAAACCTGTTTCACAGCATCAACCTCAGGATAAGGTAGCAAAATAAAGCATGAAAAATATTTTTAGAGTGTTATATAATTGTTGCAAATGGCAATATTCTCATAAAATAGTTCAAAAACATAAGCTACTTTTGCTTTGTGTAATTTGATTTCTTATTAGCTCAAGGGAACTATGGATTCCCGGGAGAGGGAACTTCCTGAGGGGTCTCTGGTTTGTTCTGAGCTCGCAGAAGGAGTCAGGTTTTCCATGGTCACCCTACTTGGTGGCAATTTGAAGTTACATAAGAGAAGAGAGTACAAAGTGCACAGGTAATGCTTCAGTTTGCATTCATTTATCTGTTACACATATTATCTGGACATGGCTCAGAGGTTGAAGGCATGATGGGAAGTTGGAAAATGAGTGAAGGAGTGAAGCAAAGCAGGGGGGAAGTGGGAAAGTGGATAGAACTGACAGTGTTTAGACTAAGGATTGTGCACAAAGAAAGAAAGTGGGTTCTTGTAGCCCATGGGCATGCAATAGACCAGCTGGGCATGCCTGGTTCCAAATTCCATGCAGTCTAGGATGACCATGATCTAGCTAAGGGTCTTTATCCTGCTCAGTAAATGCAGCTTTGCTGAGTCATATGCATTCATTCATTTGTACAGTCTCAGCCATTCATTCACTAAACATTGATTCAGGGTCAGATGCCGTGTTGGACAATAGAATTACAAAGATGAGCAGGTGATCATTTTAGATCTAGAGGCATTCGGGGTAGAGAAAAGACAAGACAATGAAGCAAGGATGTGTGCATTGAAATAGAGGTATGTACAATGCCTGTTCATTGGAAGGACTGATGCTGAAGCTGAAACTCCAATACTTTGGCCACCTCATGTGAAGAGTTGACTCATTGGGAAAGATCCTGATGCTGGGAAAGATTGGGGGCAGGAGGAGAAGGGGATGACAGAGGATGAGATGGCTGGATGGCATCACCAACTCGATGGACATGAGTTTGAGTAAACTCCGAGAGTTGGTGATGGACAAGGAGGCCTGGCGTGCTGCGATTCATGGGGTCACAAAGAGTCGGACACTACTGAGCAACTGAACTGAACTGAACTGAACAATGCCTGATGGAGTACAGTGTGCTCAGAGCAGATCCCGAGCAGGTGACAGTGGATCTTGGGGGATGAGTGGAGACATTCTAATCTAAGTCAAAGAAACAATATCTGTAAAGGCAGGGAGATCAGAAAGAGAGTGACTTAGTATGATTGCCTCCAGGGTGTGGCAAGGGAGCCACAGCAGATGGGACTGGAACGATAAGCAAGGACATCAAAAGAAGCAATTGCACCTGGAACCAGATATACCAGCTTTTGTTCTGGATAATATCATTTGGAACAGATTGGTTAAATTTGAAGTAGGAAAATTTCAGGAAATGTGCAATAACTAATTGTGGGGTTAATAGCATAGTAATTTTAACCTAAAGACAACTGCATTTCTTTATAATGAGACTGAGAACAAGTATTCAGTTAAATATGTATTAGGAAGAGCAGTTTAGGTGCTCGAAACCACCCAGTACTCTGTAGGATGGTTGTAGATAGACTTGACTAACTTATTCCAGTTATGTTCTTTGAATATTATGAGTGTAATAAGAAAAAGAACATAATCTTGTCAAAAGGAGTTCAATGCTGTAGACCAAACAGTGTAAGTCTTCTCCAGGTATGTATGCCTTTTGTCCACTGAGGAGAAGACCCATGCCTTGAAGCTGATTTTTTTGATTATCAATGTTAAGAAACTCTCATGGGGTTTCCTTGATGGTCCAATGGTTAAGAATCTGCCTGTCAATGAAGGGAGCATGGATTTCCGGTCCAGGAGGATCTCACATGTCTTGGGGCAAATAAGCCTATGTGCCACAACTGCTGAGCCCCAACTACTGAAGCCAGGGGGCCTTAGAGCATGTGTTCAGAAACAAGAGAAGACACCAGAATGAGAAGCCTACACACCACAATAGAGAAAGCTGGCGAGCAGCAATGAAGACCCAGCACAGCCAAAAATAAATAAGTATATAAATATAAATAATAAATAAATAAAACAGCAAATAAATTAAAAAAAGGAGTTGTCTTGTTTTTCAGACTTGTATTTGTAGTGTTGAACAGCTACAGAAAGAGTGATGTTTTAATTGCCTTTCCTTATGTATTTTTGGTATGTATGTCTTAGTCTATTTGAGCTGCTATAATAGACTACCATAGACTGGATGGTTTATAAGCAACAATTATTTCTCACAATTCTGGAGGCTGGGAAGTCCAAGATCAAGACTGGCTGACTTTGTGTCCGGTGAAAGCTTTTTTCCTGGTTCAGAGACAGCTGTCATTCTCCTGAGTCCTCACATAGCTGCAGGGGAGAGGGAGCTCTTTGTGGTCTTTTTTCTAAAGGCAATGATACCGTTTATGGGCTCTTCCCTCATGACTTAATCAATTCCCAGAGGCCCACCTCCAAATGCCATCACCCTGGGGATTAAGTTTCAACATATACATATTGGTGGGAAGGGGACACAAACATTCAGTCTAGAGCAATATCTAAATCAATTTTAATCAAAGCATAGTTCTTCTCTGGTGTGTGACTATCAGATTTTTCTTAAGACATATAGTTGCAACATTTAGAGGAACTCACGTCTGGTACAAAAGAAGAAAGGGAGGAGAAACAGTCCTAGAGAAGAAAGAAGGTTCTGGTTGTTGGTAAAGACAGAGAGAAACCAGGTCTTTCATTCATGTTAATTCACTTAGTTAACAGGACATTTACTAAGCCCCACAATGTACCAAGCATGAGTCTTGATGAGGAGACAGAGATGAAAGCTTGTCCTGCTTGCAAAGAGCTCAAAACCTGGGGTGATGAGAAGTTAATACCGAAGTATGATAAGTGATTTAAACAGAAGCCATCTCAAAGTGTCACAGAGAAAACACATCTAACTCAGTATTGAGAATGAAGTGTATGGAGGGTTGGGAGGCTTAAAAGGCATCCAAGAGAAGATGCTGATACTTGACTGCTATTGTTGTTCAGTCGCTAAGTGGTGTCTCACTCTTTGTGACCCCATGGACTGTAGCCCACCAGGCTCCTCTGTCCATGGGGTTTCTTAAGCAAGAATATTGGCGTGCATTGCCATTTCCTTCTCCAAAGGAGCTTCCAGACACGGGGACTGAAACTTCATCTCCTGCATTGCAGGCAAATTGTTTACCACTGAGCCACCTGGAGAGCTCCTGATATTTGACTAGACCTTTTAAAAGATTTATTTTATATTATCTATTTTTGGCCACACTGCAAAGCTTGTGGGATCTTGGTTCTCCAGTCAGGGTTGAACCCAGGTCTTTGGCAGTGGAAGCACAGAGTCCTAACCACAGAACCATCAAGGAATTTCCTTGACATAGATTTTTTTTTTAAACTGCAATTTAAATTTTTTTTTAATGAAATGTTTTAAACATTAGCTGTCATCCAGATTTAACAGATAGTAATAAGGATGTCATTAATCTTCTATACTTTCCACTGTCTAAAATATTTCATAAAACAAAAGTTGGATTCTGTGCCCTGGCAAGATTTTTTCAATGAGATGCTATAAATATTTTGGAGGGAGGTAAAGCTTGATGTCTAAACTCTAAATCTAAATAAATCATTTGGATCTGTAATCTCATCTGACCACCAGTCCAGGCCCCAGCAGGACAAGTATTTGAAGGCTCATTTTGTAAATTAGGAAAGAGAGGCACAGAGAGAGTAAGTTGATAGGAATAAATGCTGCAGGAACATATGATTTTATTAAAAACACTTATATTTGTCAATTATCTTTCAGAAGCAGCATTAACGGCAGTGGCTTCTGGGCATGAAAAATCCATGAGAGGTATTTTTTTCCTTATTAAAGGAATCATAACAGTGACATTTATGGCATTTATAGCTGATGTGCTATAAGTAAGGTGCATTTTAGAACATAAGCTTCTTAGAGCTGTGAGATTGAGATAATAATGCTCATTTCATGAGACTAGAAAATTGAGGCTCGTGGAGGCCTTGTCTACCAGTTACCACCTGCAGTCGCAGTTCTCTGGTCCTGGAGCCACATTCTTCTCACTCTACTATGTTGCTCATTTTTCATCAACTGGTGCCCAAGGTGTGTTTTCCAACACAGATGGACTGAAGGGGCAACAATCTGTGGCTCTGTCATCCCTAGTTTGGGGCTGTAAGACTTGTGCATTGTCGTGAATCCTAAGGTCCGTGCCTTGCAGCAGGTGTGTTCACACACTGCGGCTGCTTGTTCGAGATGCAGTTGTGAGCAATTTTATCTCACTCCCTGGCGGGCATTTTTTCTGCCCATTTTTCTTGTTTCCACTCCTCTTCAGTTTATGGCCCCGAAGCTGTCAGTACTCTGTCTGTCTTTCTTTTTATTTGCTTATTTATGACTGCACTGGGTCTTCATTGCTGGCATGGGCTTTCTCTAGCTGCAGCAAGCAGGTGCTGCTCTCTAGTTTCGCTGCCTGAGGCCTCTCACTGTGGCTCCTGTTTGCAGAGCATGGGCTCTAGGCAGATGGGCTTCAGTAGTTGCGGCCCATGGGCTTAGTTGCTCCGCGGCATGTGGGATCTTCCCAGACCAAGGGTCAAACCCATATCCTCTGCATTGGCACATAGATTCTAATTCACTAAACCACCAGGAAAGTCCAACAGGTGGCTTCTTAACCGCTGGACCACCAGGAAAGTCCTCGGTCCGTCTTTCTGATCTTTCTTCCAAATTCCTTGCACCAGCAGTTGGCCTAGGGCACCCTGTCCTGTCTTCAACAGGGAAAAGCTGCCCTAAAAAGTTGCCATATCCCAGAAGAAAGTGTGGCTTCCTGAGCTGTTTCTTGGCCAAAGGCTCTTGCTTGTCCAGCCTGGGGCCAGTCCCAGGGCCTATGGGTTCCAGGAGAGGTGATGAAAGGCTATGACAAATACCTGCCCAGGCAGATGGAGCAAGTGCCAGCCAGCTTGAGAAGGCAGTGTGCTAGCAGTGTCTGCCCTGAGATGATGAGGCTGTACATTCCCTACCTCACCTGCTGGGTGAGGCCTTCACAAGTACCAGCATCTTTGAGGATCTTCACCCCCAATCCATTAGCAGTTGCCAGTTTGACACTACTGCTGAAAGACTCTAAGTGGAATCCAGAAGAATTAGCTAAGAATAATTCTTGAAAAGCATCCTGATGAAGTAGCCTGGCCCCAGAGAAGGCTACAACACTGGATTCAAGGGTTGGCTCTGATATTGGGATGTTACAGAGAACTCTGACTCAGTCTGATTTAAATAAAAGGGAAATGGATTATTTTTCAAAACCAGAAGTAGGATGAGCTCCAGGCCCTGTGTGATCAGTGGCTCAGTGATGTCACCAAGGAGCCTGAGTTCCTTCCGTCTCCCCACTCCCATCATCTTCAGGGATGGTGACATCCTACCACCAATCCTGCTGGCTGCCCCTCCTGTCTCTGAGATTCTTCTCACTAAGGCTGCCAAATGATCAGAGCTAGAGGCTTCCCTGGCCATCACCAGCAGGTGGAAATCTCTCCCAAGTATGGATCATCAATCTTCTGCTTTAGTCTCATCAACTGAACTTAGGTCTCCAGTCTGGACTTAATATGGATTGCCATGAGAAGGCCGTGTTGATGGGCTCAGGCCTGCCTAATCCAGTATGGAAGATACTAGGTTCATGTGGCCACTGGGCACTTGAAATGTGCCCAGTCTGAATTAACACAGGCTCTAAGCATAAAATACTCATCGGATTCCCAAAACTTCTCCCTCTTTGTGTCTCTCTCACACACACAAGTGAAATATTGATTTAATTTTTTTAACATTGATTACAGGTTGATGCTGGGAAAGATTATGGGCAGGAGGAGAAGGGGACGACAGAGGATGAGATGGTTGGATGGCATCACCAACTCAATGGACATGAGTCTGGGTAAACTCTGGGAATTGGTGATGGACAAGGAGGCCTGGTGTGCTGCAGTTCATGGGGTCACAAAGAGTTGGACATGACTGAGAGACTGAACTGAACTGAAAATGTTAACAAGCTTTGGGTTTATTGGGTTAAATAAAATTTATTATTAAAACTAATTTCTCCCTTTTAGTTTTGCTTTCTTAATGTGACTACTAGAAAATTTTAAATTACACAGGTGACTCACTTTATATTTCTGTTGGGTAGTAGTGGCTTAGAAAAAACAAGGGTTTATTTCCAGAACTTCCAGTAGACCATTCAGGTATGACCTAAATCAAATCCCTTACAATAATACAGTGGAAGTGATAAGGGATTAGATCTGATAGATAGAGTGCCTGAAGAACTATGGATGGAGGTTCGTGACCGTGTACAGGAAGCGGTGACCAAACCCATCCCTAGGAAGCAGAAATGCAAAAAGGCAGAATGATTGTCTGAGGAGAACTTACAAACAGTTGAGAAAAGAAGAGAAGTGAAAGGCAAGGGAGAAAAAGAAAGATATACCCTTCTGAGTGCAGAGTTCCAAAGAATAGCAAGGAGAGATAAGAAAGCCTTCCTCAGTGATCAGTGCAAAGAAATAGAGGAAAACATAGAATGGGAAAGACTAGAGATCTCTTCAAGAAAATTAGAGATATCAAGGGAACATTTCATGCAAAGATGAGCACAATAAAAGAAATGGTATGGACCTAAAAGAAGCAAAAAATATTAAGAGATAGCAAGAATACACTGAAGAACTATACCCAAAAGATATTAATGACCCAGATAACCACAGTGGTGTGATCACTCACCTAGAGCCAGACATCCTGGAATGCAAAGTCAAGTCAGCCTTAGGAAGATTCACTATGAACAAAGCTAGTGGAGGTGATGGAATTCCAGGTGAGCTACTTCAAATCCTAAAAAATGATGCTGTTAAAGTGCTTCACTCAATATGCTAGCAAATTTGGAAAACTCAGCAGTGGCCACAGGGGTGGAAAAGGTCAGTTTTCACTCTAATCCCAAAGAAAGGCAATGCCAAAGAATGTACAAACTACTGCACGATTGCACTCATCTCACACGCTAACAAAGTAATGCTCAAAGCTAGGCTTCAACAGTACATGAACCCAAAAACTTCCAGATGTTCAAGAAGGATTTAGAAAAGGCAGAGGAACCAGAGATCAAATTGCCAACATCCGCTGGATCATAGAAAAAGCAAGAGAATTCTAGAAAAACATCTGCTTCACTGACTACGCTAAAACCTTAGACTGTGTGGATCACAACAAACTATGAAAATTCTTAAAGAGATGGGAATACCAGACCATCTGAGAAACCTGTGTGTGGATCAAGAAGAAACAATTAGAACCAAACATAGAACAACAAACTGGTTCCAAATTGGGAAAGGAATATGTCAAGGCTGCATATTGTCACCTTGCTTATTTAACTTATATGCAGAGTACATCATGAGAAATGCCAGGCTTAATGAAGCACAATGGAATCAAGATTGCAGGGAGAAAGAGCAACAACCTCAGATATGGAGATGACACCACTCTTATGGCAGAAAGTGAAGAGGAACTAAAGAGCCGCTTGATGAAGGTGAAAAAGAGAGTGAAAAGCTGACTTAAAACTCAACATTCAGAAGATGAAGATCATGGCATCTGGTCCCATCACTTCATGGCAAATAGATGGGGAAACAATGGAAACAGGGAGAGACTTTATTTTCTTGGGTCCCAAAATCACTGCAGATGGTGACTGCAGCCGTGAAATTAAAAGACGCTTGCTTCTTGAAAGAAAAGCTATGACCCACCTAGCCAGCATATTAAAAAGCAGAGATATAACTTTGCTGACAAAGGTCCATCTAGTCAAAGCTATGGTTTTTCCAGTAGTCATGTATGGATGTGAGAGCTGAACCATAAAGAAAGCTGAGTGCTGAAGGATTGATGCTATTGAACTGTGGGGCTGGAGGAGACTCTTGAGAGTCCCTTGGTCTGCAAGGAGCTCAAACCAGTCAATGGTTAAGGAAATCAGTCCTGAATATTCATTGGAAGGACTGACGCTGAAGCTGAAGCTCTAATACTTTGGCCACGTGATTTGAAGAAATGACCCATTGGAAAAGACCCAGCTGCTGGGAAAGATTGAAGTCAGGAGAAGGGGATGACAGAGGATGAGATGGTTGGATGGCATCACCGACTCGATGGACATGAGTTTGGGTAAACTCTGGGAGTTGGTGATGGACAGGGAGGCCTGGTGTGCTGCAGTTCATGGGGTGGCAAAAAGTCAGAAATGACTGAGTGACTGAACTGAACTTCTAGAACTTTCAGAACTGGAGATGGAAAGATACCTGAATAAGATAGTGGTTCTTTTAGGAGGATGTCTTTTATTTTTGAAATTTTACATAAATATGTATATAATGTATCTATCTATGTATGTAGATATTTAGCAGGGAGGATGAACAATGTAGGGCTATACATTCAGGGAACTATTTATGGGAAAATGTGCTGTGCTAAGTATTGTGGGGGAAAGAAATTGCTGATTGAGCAGGGGAGATAAGATATGTAGGCATGTGAGTGGTGCAGATAATAGCAGCTGTATGATTTCAGACTTTGGAGAGTTTCTGTCTAGTGTGACAATGGAATGCCAGTGTGAGCTGGGCCTTGAGTAGATGGGGTTTCAAAAAAAGAAGGCAGTTGGGGAGAGTTACCTTGGGGGCGTTCTAGGTGGAGGGAAAAGCACAGAGAGAATGCTGAGGCAGGAAAACTTGGACTGGAATTTTAGTTTAGCTGAAACTGAGAGTTAAAGAGAAAGACTGGGTCACACTGCTTCAAAATTTACACTGCTGGGTAAATATTAGAAACAGATTTATTTTAGGATGGCTGGTGAAAACATCTGTTAGAGAGGTATGGGCAGCACTGGAACATATTTTTGCTAACACATCTTTAGCAAATGAGCTTAAGTAAGCCACTTCACATGTTTATTGCCCTTAGGAAGCATTCGCAGGTCAGATCGGCACAGCTTAGTGCTTGGATTGGTGGACACTGGCACAGACTGCCTGGGTTCTAATTCCACCTGTGCAATGTATTAGAGGTGAGATTTTGGACAATTTACCTCACCTCTCTTTGCCTCAGTCTCCCTATTTGTAAAATGTGAAATATAACATTATACTTACATCCTGGGGTTATTGTGAGGATTAAATGACTTAGATTAAATGAGTTCCTCAGAGCACTCAGCATGCCCATAGTTTGAAATGTGAGTTTGTTAAAAAGACGATTGGTTGAGTATTGTTGACTACACAGAACTAGGCAACTAGGAAGCTATTGCTAAAATAACTACTTTTTTCCAAATGTGTTTATAGGTAGGTAATAGCCCTGTGTGGGCTTCCCAGGTGGTGCTAGTGGTAAAGAACCTGCCTGCCCACGCAGGAGGCACAAGAGACGTGGGTTCCATCCTGGGGAAGATTCCCTGCAGGAGGGCATGGCAATCCACTCCTGTATTCTTGCCTGGAGAATTCCACGGAGACAGAAGCCTAGTGGGCTACTGTCCAAAGGGTTGCACAGAGTTGGACATGACTGAAGAGACTTAGTAGGCATGCACAATAGTTCTGTGTATATAAAGATAACGCACAAAGAGCATCCCCAGGAAGAAATATCGTTGTCAGGTCAGCCTGACAGGGTCAGGCTAGTTCCACATTTCCTGCCACACTTGCTAACCCAGCTTTGCTGATGTCCACAGAAATTGTTGCAGAGTTTACAAATAAATCTCCAAGTATCCAACAAAAGCAGTGCAAACACACTAATTAGCTGTAAGAGCTCTTAATGTAATAGGTGTCTTTTCAAAATGCAGCACTGAATTGGGCTTTCTTTTCTTTTAAAACTGTGCTTCCACCTGCCTCTCTCCCACCCTCTTTCCTTTTCACTGGGAGTGTGAGGGGTAAGGAGTAGTTTCTGAATTCAGATAAATTGCTCAGATTTCCCAAGGTGAACCTGGCTTGCCCCAGATGGGTTTTCTGCCACTGTTTGGGTGACTCATTAATAGTATCCTTTTCCCTCTCAGAAGTCTGTTTTGTTTGCTTCTGTCTTGATTTTTATTTGTTATTTAAAGAGAAACTCGGGCTTCTCTTGTGGCTCAGCTGATAAAGAATCCGCCTGCAATGCTGGAGACCTGGGTTCAATCCCTGGGTTGGGAAGATCCCCTGGTGAAGGGAAAGGCTACCCACTCCAGTATTCTGGCCTGGAGAATTCCATGGACTGTATAGTCCATGGGTTAGAAAAGAGTCAGACACGACTGAGCGACTTTCGATTAAAGAGAAAGTCGGTTTCTTAAGACAGTTTAAAGAGAACTTAGGAAGTAGAAATATGTTATTCAAATTGGTCAACTGAAAATTGTATATATTTATGTCACTGTAATCCACTAGGCAATCTGGATATCCTTAGAATATTTGTTAAAAATATAGGTTGTTTGTGCACATTTCAGTCCTGTCCAACTCCTTGTGACCCTATAGACTGTAGCCCACCAGGCTCCTCTGTCCATGGGATTCTCCAGGCAAGAACACTGGAGTTGATTGCCATGCCCTCCTCCAGGGGATCTTCCCGACCCAGGGATGGAACCTGAGGCTCTTATGTCTCCTGCATTGGCAGACGGGTTCTTTACCACTAGCGCCACGCCCATATGTGTGTGTGTGTGTGTGTGTGTGTGAGTCACTCAGTCGTGTTTGACTCTTTTCAACCCCATGGACTGTAGCCCACCAGGCTCCTCTTATATATAAAACAATTGGGGATTTACATGCATTCTATAAAAAGAAAAAAAAAATGTATGGCTCATATCAAGTATCATATGGGTATTTCCCATTTTATGTTTATAGTTTTTAATTTTGTTGTTAACAATTTCCTATCCTTGTGAGATTCTGAGATGACTATTTTTTTTTTCAAGCTTTGTGGTAACTGCTAAAGTTCAACTTTGAGCCGATCTATACAATTTAGCATTTTAGCTCTCTATGACTCTTGTCTGACAGAGTGTGGCATAAATGAGATATTGACACCAGTGGAAATTTTCTGTGTGGGAATACTGAATGCCATTTGATCATTCACTATATTTAAAAAAAGTTTAAATTTATTTTTATTATAGTTTATTTGCGATGTGTATTAATTACTGCAGTACAGTAAAGTGACTCAGTTATATATGTATACACATTCTTCTTCTTTTACTATTTATTTATTTGACTATGCTGGGTCTTCGTTGACTATGCATGGCCCTCTATCTAGTTGCGCTGCGAGGTTTCTCATATGCGGGGACTTTGCTTGTTGCCAGGAGTGTGGGCTCTGGGCCCAATGGGCTATGGTAGTTGCGACACACGGCGTCAGTAGTTGCAGCTCTAGGATTCTAGAGCAAGGACTCAGTAATTGTGGGGCTTGGGCTTAGCTGCTCCACAACACGTGGGATCTTCCTGGACCATGGATCAAACCCACACCTCCTGCCTTGGCAGGGGGATTCTTTACCACTGATCCACCAGGGAAGCCCGATATATTCTTCCTAATTCTTTTCCATTATGGTTTATCACAGGATAATGAATATAGTTTCCTGTGCTGTAAGGTAGGAGGACCTTGTTGCTTATCCATTCTATATACACCAGTTTGTATCTGCTAATCCCAAACTCCCAATCCACCCCTCTCCTTCCCCTCACCCCCTTGGCAACCACCAGTCTATTCTTTACGTGTCTTATTCTGTTTCCTAGATAGGTTCATTTGTATCATATTTTAAAATGTATTTTCCTTTTTGCCTCGGTGGCATGGCTTGTAGGATTCAAGTTCCCCAACCAGGGATCTAACCTGCGGCCCCTGCAGTGGAAGGAATCCTAACCACCAGACTACCTCTGAACTATCCCACGTGTCATATTTAAGATTCTATATATAAGTGATAGCATATGGTACTTATCTTTCCCTTTCTGACTTCCTTCACTTAGTATGATAATCTCTACTTGCATCTCTTACAATTCTTGGTTTCGTATACTAAACCATAGAGAAATCTCAGAGAGGGACTCATATACGAGGGTATCTGAGAGGTGTTCTTGGAAGCTGGGAGGGAGATTTTAGGGGAGCAAGGTATGGATTGGTACGGCAGCCTGGGCTTCTGGGCTGGCAGGAAGCCGTCCTGAGCAGGGCGCAGAGTGCCGGCCAGCGCGGGTGGAACGCGGAAGTGGTCCAACACCCACTTCCCGCCCCCCAAGCCTGATCCGCACACCCCCTTTCCTGAATCTTCGCCCCAAAGCGCAGCACCGCCTCTGGGACCTCCGGCTGCTCCCGGGCTAGTGGGGCCGGGGCGCTGCGGGCTGCAGCCGCTTGGGGTGCCCCGGCGGCTGGGGAATGGGAAGATGTGAGCCCGGACGCCCGGGGCCCTGCTGGAGCTCCGCCGGGACGCTCGGAGCGCCTGCCCAGGCCAGCAACGCTTTTCTTCCTGCGCATCGGCAAGCTGGCCGAGGGCAGAAATAGGGATATGAGACATCTTCTATTGATTTTCGACTCTTGGCGGCAGCTGCCAGATTCCTCGAGAGTCACTGAGTCCCAGACAAGATACTCCAAGCTCAACACATTTGTAATAGACGACGGCTTTTTTTTTTTTTTTTTTTTTCCTTTCCAGAAAAGAGCTCCTCACCACCGGGCTCGGGACCAGCTCCTTCCCCGAGACCGCGTTCCCGCCTTAGGGCAAGTTCTTCCCTTCGAGATCCGAGCCTTGCGCCCGGACGCTGAGGCTGTGGTGTGGGTTCTTTTCAGGACAGTTTTTGGTGGGTGAAGAGAACATGAGGGTCCTGCCCACCCCCCGGGGGGAACGGGAGTAGATTTGGGGGGTGAGGGGTCTCCAGGTGTCTTTCTCCCGCCACGATGACCCTGGCTTTTGGGAATACGGTCCCACGACTACTGTGGGTTTTACGAAGTATCATCAGTGGACAGTAATCTGAAAAGTTAATTCTGCACTTTAGGCTAAAAAAGAGAAGAGGATTAAGTAACAGTCACAGTTTTTTTTTTTTTTTTAAGCGTTCGGGGTGCCCGGAGCCCAGTCCTGAGGCCCCGCTGTGGCTTTCCATTGTTGGCGCCGCCCGCGCCCGCGGGCGGCCGGGGCTGAGTCATTCCGAATTCTTCTCTTTATGTTTTCTCTCCGCGAGCGCGCGGATGGCTGCTCTGAGTCGTCTTCCTTGCTCAGACAAAAGAAATCTAGCCTTTGATGGTTCTGATTCACGAGTCCGCTAAAACATGAGTCAAACTCCAGTTTCCTGAGAGCTGGAAATATCTGCTCCGCCCCACCCTAACGGGGAGCGCCCACAGTTCTCGTTTCGCCACCCAGTGGCTCAAATCTGGAGCACTTCCTTGGTGTCCAGGCAAACCGATCCGCGCGCCGCTAAGTGGTTTTCAGGCCAGTGAAACTGCAGCGGAGTCCAAGCTTCTGAAGAGAGGTGTGTGTGCGCGCGTGTATGTGTGTGTGTATGCTTTTAATAATCAGTTCTTTAAAACTATGAAGTTGTTAGAGTGAAAATGGTGGACATTATCCCGGGATAGCGAGCGAAAAAGATTCCTGAACTGAACGGCAGCCTCCGCGGCATCCTGTTTTATTTTTGGCAAGTGAATATGGGTCGTTTGGCAAGGCCTGTGGCTGACAGGAATATCAACAAGGGCCACTTTGTAGGCCACAGAAGCCACTTTACGCCCAGGGTGAGGTGTAATGTTTGACAGTGGTGATGCTGGTGGCGGCGGGGGGTGGGGGTGGGGGGACGTGGAACTTTCCAGCCAGGAGCTCCGGGGCCAGCGGCTCTGAGTTTGGTTTTGGAAAGACAGGGGGACAGAGGGGGGACAGGGTATCAGTTCCGGGGCTGACACTGCGGTTTTCTTTTTGTTTTTCTTTTTTAAAAAATATGTTTTTTCCTGATTAAACAATCAATCTTTATTTTCAAAAATTTTAAATAAATAAAAATGCTCAAAGGAGGAAAAAAAATAATTACCTGTCCAGAAATAACCTCTGTTAACATTTTGATGTGTGTGTGTTCAGTTTTTTTTTCTATGCCTATTTTATTTAAACAAAAATGGAACTGCTATATTCAACAGAAATGAAAATATATGCACCCACCCCCCAAACCACCGTGCATGAATGTTCATAGCAACATTATTCCTTACTGCTAAAAAGTGGAGAGAATTCAGCCGATGACTGGATAACCAAAAAGTGATCTATCCATTTAATGGAATATTATTTGGGACTGAAAAGAATGAAATGTGGATGCATGCTGCAACATGGATGAACTTTGAAAACATTATGCTAAAAAGCCAGACACACAGACAGCACATTAGAGACAGAAACTGGATTAGTGGCTGGCAGGGACTGGAGATGGGGGAGATGGAGTTTCCTTTTGGCCTGATGAAATGTTCTGGAATTAAATATGTGATGGGCACACCGCTCTGTAATGTACTAACGACTATTGAACTGTACACTTTAAGAAAGATGAATTTTATGGTGTGTGAATTATATCTCAAAATCTGTTATTAAACAAAAGTAAATGGAATCACACTATACCTCATATTATGAACATTTCCCTAATATTCCGAAAGACTACTCTTCTTAATATTTCTATTTTTAATTATCAAAGTAATGCACAGTTATTCTAAAAAAAAATTAAAGAATGCAGAAGAAGAGTGAACAGAAGAAAGTGAAGTATTTCTCCCCCCGGCCCATCTTCAACACCTTCATAGTACCTGCTTAAAAATTATTTTTATCTAATACTCTTCTGTTTATAGAACCTTAGGTTCGGGGCAAACCCACTGCTTTTATTTTTAATTTTAATTTTCTTCTCTCTAATTCTGCTTTCATTTTCCTCCCCTGTGTCACCACTTACTCTGTGATCCTTATATGTTCTATATTATGCAAGTATCTCTGGAAAATATCACATTTTGGTATGGGTTTTTAATGTTTAGAAGTGGTTATTGTGCTATTAAGTCTTCTTATGCAACACTTTCTGAGGTCTCTGCATGTTCTTGGGTGATATTATTCCTCAGTAAAATTCACAACATTTTATTTAGCTATATCCCTAATGAGCTGGCTCACCTCCAGCTCTGTCACAAGGAGCAGTGTGGTGTATACATTCCCTTCAGGACTTGAGCAAGAATTACTCTGGTACAAATACTCTGATGTGGGGCAGTGTACTGGGACAAAGGACATATTCTTATTTAAATGCAATCATTTTGCTTTCTGGAATGGATACACCAGTTTATATTCCCTTCTCCTTGTGGACAGTAATTTCCACCTCCTCACATCCTTTGCCAACACTTGATGGCATCAAACTTTCTAATTTATATTAATTTGATGGTTTGAAAGGAATATCTTAATTTGCATTTCTTTTTGTTTCTATTAATTACAAGGGAATTCACTTACTTTTTATTTATTTATTTTTCCATTTTTAAAAAAATGAGCTTTTTTTTTTTTAAGAGTTATTTATTTCATTTTTGGCCGCAGTGGGTCTTTGTTGCTGCTCAAGGGCTTTCTCTAGTTGCGGCCATTGGGGGCTACTCTTGGTTGCAGTGCGTGGGCTTCTCATACCATGGCTTCTGTTGTGGAACACAGACTCAAGGGCTTACAGGCTTCGGTAGTTGCAACACTCGGGGTTAGTAGTTGTGGCACATTAGGGCTTGGTTGAATTCTCTGCAGCATGTGGAATCTTTCCCGATCAGGGATGGAACCTGTGTCCCTTGCATTGGCAGGAGGGTTCTTATCCTCTCTACCACTAGGGAAGTCTTTTATGTGTTTATTTTTAAAAATATTTACCTGTTTGGCTGTGCTGAGTTAGCTGCTGCACTCAGGATTTTTAGTTGAACGCTTAGTTGCGGCATGTGGGATCTAGTTCCCTGACCGGGGATAGAACCCAGGCTCCTGGCATTGGGGGTGCAAAGTCTTAGCCACTGGACCACCTGGCTGGACCACTGGACCAGTCTCTACAAGGGAATTTAATCAGCTGTTCATATACTTGTTTGACATCTTGTCTTCTATTAAGTGAATTGCCTATTCAGTGCTCATTTTTCTGTTGGGTTTTCTCACTTTTTCTTGTTGATCTGTAGGAGCTCTTTGAGTATTCTGGATATTAATCTCTTCTATGGACAAGATGTTGCAATCTCCTCTACTCCAGTATCTGTTAACTTTGTTTGGTATGTTTTACTGAAAGAAGTACTTGATGTAGTGAAAACCATTTAATTTTACTCCTAGGGACTTCCCTGGTGGTCCAGTAGCTAAGGGTCTGAGCTTCCAGTTCAGGGGGCCCAGGTTCAATCCTTGGTCAGGAAACTAGATCCCACATGCCGTAACTAAAGATTCTGCATGCCACGATTAACAAGATCCCATGTGCCTCAACTAAAACACAGCACAGCCAAACAAGTAAACGATAAAAAAAAAAGATAATTTTTCCCCGTTCCTAAATGCTAAAGATATTTTCCAGTATTTTTTTCTTTTCACTAATTTTATCTTACTACTATTAACAGATCTTTTCCCATATATATATCAACACATCCATGATTTATTTCTTAACAAAAATATAATAAGATAATGTGTTTTGTTAGATAGCTCTTTTTCATCTTCAAACAAATTATATGGACATTTTCCTATGTCTCTATTTCAGCATGCTTACTTTTTAATGGTATTCTCTTATATGAATGTACCATAACTTCTTTAACAATTTCCTTACTGATGAAAAACTGACAATAGTCTAAAAAATGCTTGGTGCTTGTTCAAGTACTTTTTAGGCTAGATTACCATAGGCAGATTTTCTGGTTTAATGAATATGTTTAATTTTGACTTACTACCAAATTGCTCTCCAAAAATGTTGTAATGACTTGTATGTCCATTGACAGTGTTCAAACACAGTTTGTTGTTGCAGTAGTTGTTATATAAATTAACTCTTTTATTATAGGCTGGTGATGTTTCCAATGGTGTTGCTTCTACTGTTCTTTCAGTTCCTTTAGTCTCTAAGGCGACTTCCCTGTGAGGGCACCAGGGGTGGTGTGGTCCAGGTACCGCCAGCCTCCGTTTTCATGCATGAGCTGCAGCTTTCCCCTTCATATTGGTTTTGCCACAGAAGGAGCAACTGTCCTTGGTGTGCAGGCTGATTTTCTTCACTATCTGCCTGCAGGAAGTACTATGTCAATATTGTCCTGAACCGACAGTGGTCCTGACCTTCCTGGTACAGTTAGCCATATCACCTCAAATTAGGTCCAAGCCCAGAGGGGAGCCAAACATGATTTTTTTAAATTAACTTAATTTTTATTTTATATTGGAGTACAGTTGATTTACAATGTTGTGTTAGTTTCAGGTGTATAGAAAAGTGATTCAGTTGTACATATGCATATATCCATTCTTTCTCAGATTCTTTTCCCATATAAGTCATTAAAGAATATCAAATAGAGTTTCTTGTGCTATATTGTAGGTTCTTGTTGATTATCTATTTTATAGTAGTGTGCATTTGTTAATCTCAGACTCCTAATTTATCCCTCCCCTGCCACCTTTTGAAACCTTTTGGTAACCATAAGTTTATTTTCGAAATCTGTAAGTCTGTTGTAAATAAGTTTATCTGTATCATTTTTTAGGTTCCAAATATAAGCAATGTTTGTCTTTGTCTGACTTTCTTCACTTAGTATGATAATTTTTAGGTCCATATATGTTGCTGCAAATGGTATTATTTCATTCTTTTTATGGCTGAGTAATATTCCATTGTTGACTTCCCTGGTGGCTCAGTGGTAAAGAATCCACCTGCAGTGAAGGAAATATGGGTTTGATCACTGGGTCGGAGAGATCCCCCGGAGAAGGAAATGGCAATCCACTCCAGTATTCTTGCCTGAGAAATCCCATGGACAGAGGAGCCTGGCGGGCTATAGTCTGTGGGGTCACAAAAGGGTCAGTCATGACTTAGCAACTACATGTCAACAAAAACAGTATTCCACTGTATATATGTACCACATCTTTTTTATCCATTCTTCTGTTGATGGACATTTAGATTGCTTCCATGTCTTGGTTATTGTATACAGTGCTGCAGTGAAC